AGAGATAATAATTTTTATTTACAAACATTTAATAATTTAATTAAATTTAATTAAATTCGATTAAATATAGTCTATAATTAATTGCAGTATATAAATATAAATTTTTATTCTATTTATCTAATGAATTTTTACAGTAGATAAGAACATTCAAGTTTATAATTAATTGAAAATCTTAAAACTTATTAATAATTTAAAATACTTTATAAAGTACGATCATATTTATAAAAAGAAAACAAACAAATATATGTTTTCTTAAATTATAAATTAATAAATAATAATTTTTAATAAAATTTCATTAGTTAATAACATAGCTACATAGTATTATGCCTTTGAGTCAGATATATATTAACATAAGTTACAGTTATTTACTTAACAGATTCGTCTAATAATCAACGTCAGTAATATTTTAAATATTCTCGTAATTCGAACAAACTTACCGAGTTGTTTCTTCAATTCTTGCATTTAATTATTAAATATTTTTGATGGAATTTACTATTAAAATCCTTATCAAATTTCTGTTATAATTATATATAATATTGTTTTGTTTTGAATTTTAATTTGTATATTAAATACAGTTCTGTGCTGCCTAATCACAGACTTCCCATAAGATTATAATAGAGCCAGTCCTGTAGCCAGGTATAAGCCTGTATCAATATGGGCTAAATTTATAAATGAGGTGCAAGCTGAAAAAATTATGACTGATTTTTTTCTTTTTCAGCCAGAACTAGAACTATTAGCTACAGTCTACATGTAAAAATAACAGTAGCCTAAGAATATAGAATTATATATATTGAAATATGAATAATAGGGGATTTAGCATTTCATATACCCCCATAGCTATGACTATAAATGGTGCTGGAAAATGTATTTGCCTGTACCTTCCATATATTTATATAGATAAATACTTATGGTGTTAAAATTGTGTTACATATAGCCTTTATGAGTATCGACTATACCATATAAGACTCGTCTAAGTACAGTACACTCTACGATCTTAATGATGTATTTCTTGGAATGTATACTCATCCTTAAGCTACTCATACCTGTTTATATATAGCTATAGATTTACTTCTTAGGATAAAACAACCTTTGTTGTAGTATTATGTAGTAATTAATTATTTTTTTAATTGGAAACATTAATAAAGATGCTTTATTTCTCTAATGATGCGTATAATTATTTTTTATCGTGTTTTATTTTTATACATCAAATTAATATTTTATTATTTAATAAAATGAAATTTGTATAATTTTTAAACTAAATACATTAAAAATTATTATAATCTACGATAAAATTCTTTTTTATATTTTAATATTTGTATTGTGTAATTTAACAGAAGAACATAAAGGATTTTTCTAAGCTAATATAATTTATTATCTAAGAAAAATTTATTGATAAATCTGAATAAACGATTCTTAAAAATAATATATTTTTATTAGAAATTAAATTCTGATTATTTCATATCTTTTACCTATAAAATTCTTTATTATACATGCATACATTGTCAAGAACGTTCTATAAATGTGTCAATTGTTCTCTTTGACATTTATGATAAAATTTATTAAACTTTATCTTCTAACATTAAAATTTAATTGCTGTGAATGATAAGGCATTAAACCTTACATAAATAATTTAAATAAAACATATGATTCGAGCAATTTTGCAATTTATCGAAGTCAAAAACCTGCAATTAACCATTGAAAGCAATTATAATTGAATAACCATTGAAGCAGCAAGAATTTCTTTCTTATGATTTTATTATAGATATTTTAATCCGTTGATTAAGCTGTCTGCATGCTAAATGCTAGAAAATTTGAACGAATTTTCAAAAATATTTATCCTAAACTTTAAAAATTTTAGATTATTTGCTGGAAATGTACCGTGAAAAATGTTCAAAAAAAATTGTTATTGATTATGTTATTCAAAATTGCATAACGGAAATTATTTTATAGTAGATTAGTTAAATACTTTAAACCAATATTTCATGTATTTTTTTTCTTATCCTTTTTCACTTGCAAGTTGTACAACGTTACAAATAGTTTATAGCCATCTTCCAAAGAATTTTTTGATCAAATAACTAAGTATGATGATATAGCAATTCCTTCGCGATAGGATATAAACGAATATTATGTTCTTAGAATAGAATATATAAACACAGACTAAGTATCAACGGCAGATATATTTCTTAGCTATAAAAAAACACATGCTGCTATTTATTTAAACATGAAATTATATATTTATTATTAAGAAAAAGACCAAAAAATACTTAAATTTTCTCTTTAATAATAATATATTCAGTATAAATTATCGGACAGTATATTAACAAAACGGAGGTTATAAAGGCAAAGGGGTATTATGAATTTGCGATACTCGTTGGGCTGCAATTTGTAAAAATTATAGACCTATAAATTCCAAATGTTTTCCTTTTGTCTGACTGTTCTTCCTTAATCTCGAGAATGTATTATATCGATGAAAATAGAGACAAGATGTAGAAAGATTCGGGTTAGGAGGCTCTGATTAACTCTATATGAATTTCCATTCTACCACGAAAATCACGTAATTTCAATTCAAAACGTTTTCTCCAGAATGGAGTTGACCGGCATGACTCCATTGTTATTAGGCAAAGTATGATATACAGGGGAAAGACAGTACTAATTTGAGATCGAGAGGATAGATTTTAAAAATTATTAAATTGTAAATATTTAAAATATTAAGATTGTTCTTAGTGTTCTTTCTCATTTAGCTCTCGGGAATACTCATCTCCCATCCTCTCTGATTAAGCCTGTATATAAAGTGTCTTGTTATAAAATTTTAATGTTAATTGGAGGTATAATTATCATAAATCGTTTAAGATTAGAGAGAGTATGCTTACTTTAATTTCAACAACAAATAGGATTATAACGTTATAGCTATTGTTTTCATTTCGATCTTGATTGGTAGGAAGTAATAAACATAGCGTGAGTGAATATCATCTGATAATGTAATTGCACTTATGTTTGGCTTCAAGGGTATTTACACATTAATGGAAATAAGAGGGGAAGATCCAATCGAATCATTTTTATTAATTATTTGTCGGTACTCGATTGAATTAAGAAGGTAAACAATTCAATAAGAAAAAAATATGAGCTGATACTGAAGAAGTAAATGTTAAAATATAAAAATCTATAACAAAGATTTTAATTTATATATTATAAATTAAAATTAAAAAATTATAATTTTAATATAATTCCTTTGTGTTTCATTACAATTTAATTATTTTAAAATAGTTTTATAATCATTGTATGTAACGAATTTTTTAAATATTTTATTTAAAACTGGTGTTATTAATTCATGCAGAATCATTTATTTTTGGAAAATTTTTATTATAATTAACTCCATTCATTTGGTTTCTCAATTTATTTTCTCAGATTTTTTTAATTCTGTTATCATTAAATATATATAATCATTCCATCATTCCAATATTAAAAATAGTTTAAATAACTTTTAACCCCCCAAAAAAGGAATAATAACCAGCAAAAATTATTATGACATCGCTATAATGCTGGGCTGCAATTTTTTAAATATATGCTTTCGATCTCAAATTAGTAGTATCTTGCCCCTGTACAGTACATAATACTCTTCTTGATGACATCACGCCGGTTATCTATTTAACTCTGCAGTAGAGAAAATTTTTGACTTGAAATCACGTGACTTCCGGTCTATAGTGGAAATTCGTACCTAGCTAATCGGGCCCTCTTTCCCTATTCTTTCTACATCTGGTCTCTACTTTTATTTATCTAACACTATTCGTGTGGTTAAGGAAGGACAGACAGTGGGAATTTATAGGTCTACAATTTTTTCGAATTCCAACCCAATAAACATTACACTCGTTAATGTGGTCTGACCGACAGATGGCTGTGGCGATTAGATATTAGCCTACCGCTCTGGAGGACACTGGAGGGCCCGGGATTAAATCCGGGTAAACAACTCCCCAGGAATTTTTTATAATTCTATCCTTCACCATCCTGTTGTCCCATTGTGGACTGGCCAAATCCATTATGGATATGGAAGAAAGGTCCTCTTCCATATCCATAATAGGGAAGAAAGTTAAAAATGGGGATACAACCAGAGTTATGTATGGATTCCGAATCTATTTCCATCGGATTGTTGTACATTATGAAAAAAATGTGCCCAGAAAACTAATTAAACATTACTAAAAATCATAAGAAATGTTTTATTAAAATACATTGAGTGAAATTCATTGTAACATATAATTTAATACAGATCCAATTATACTCTATTATTCTCAATTTTCCACTTGTTCCTCAATTCTTAATCTTTGCAAGAGGATCAAATAGCTCCCTATTAAACATTTCATCATCTTACCTACCAATAAAATTAAATTATATAATATTATAGCATAGCTATAATTTTCTATTAATGGAATTTTATAATTATTATTTTTCTTAGATCTGATAGCAGGTTTTGAATAATGGTAGTGGCAGAATGTAAAATTATAGAGTTGTCACGAGTTGTTAATATCCTTCACGTGCATGGAAAGTCTTAAATAAGGTTATCAAGTAATGTGGAATAATAAGTTATAAATGAAATTTAATATATGACTCGATTAGGTTAACAGGTGATGTAGAATAATGAATTATAAGAGAAATTTGATCCGGACTTGTCTGCAACAGCACTAATAATATTTGAAATTTCCATCAATTTCTTATTATATAAGTTAAAGTTCGGGAAATTACGTGAATATTTAAATTTTAGTAAACATTTTAGAATATTAATTTTATTATAAATTCGTACATAACTTCTAGTGTCTGTTCCTAAACTTTTCGGAATATCACCACCTTTAATGCATATATTTCTTATATGTATATATGTTTTTTGCTTGTTTCAAAATGAATTTTTGTCCCCCTTGTTTTCCCGAGCCTCCTTGAGTCTTCTACCACCTTCAAGTTGGCTCCGAAAGTGGGAGCCATCTTGAAGATGGTAGAAGACTCAAGGAGTTTACTCTGTTCGACATCCCTATCGCCTCTTTCCCTCCAGAGCCTAATTGAGTCTTCTACCAACTTCAAGATGGCTTCCACATTAGGAATCACTGTTCTAGATGAACATTTTCCTATAATTCTTTACATTTTAAATCACATAATATATTTATTTATTTATTTATTGCGAATTTAAATATTATTAATTATTCGGAATTAAGTCGTGTATCAATTGTTTCGATTATAGAATCAATATTGATGAGCCAATGTTGGATTCTTTGAAACATTGAAGAATAGAAACGTTTGGATTTATTTCGGATTCAGTAGACTAAAATTGAAATTTAGAAAGTTGTAGATAGCAAAGCATTAACTACTTGGATCAATAATGCAATGGGATAAAGAAATTGATTGTATGACTAAACGGAACTGAAGTTTTTAACGCTAGTAGTAATTAAAATGGAGGAGATTCGTTATTGTAGATAGAAAATCAGAAAGAAAATAGTAAATGAATAAAGTTTTTTTCTAGAACATTTGTTTAGAAACTTTTTTCAATATTTTTCAATATTTTTTAAAGGAATAATCGACCACCACCACTCAAATTTTATAAAAATTAGCTGAAAATTAACAAATATTTTCTATTGTTTCATATATCATTACAACGATGTTCAAATATAAAAGCTCTATTGAAAAAACAAGCTTTATAATCAGTCAAATTGCTTAAAATGTCTCGAAACCAAGTGTAAAAAGTGATTTTTTTAAAATATTATTCAATAAAAAAAATAATATTTTATGATTTTTTCAATTGTTTTAGTCAAATAACTAATGTCTTGCGGCAGTATTCCTAACCAATAGTGAAGAGATAGAATTAGAATTTAATCAATAAGCGTTCACTTAAAAATACAATGATAATTAGCTAACTTCTAACTCTAATTCTTGATATTTGATTTTCAATACGGTCGTAGAGAGTTAAATTATTGTCTTTGTATTAGAGTTTATGATTTTTTCATTTTCAAAATTATACAAAATACCTAAATAAATACATCAGCTACAAAAAAATTATATTTATTGTTTTGCTCAAAATAAGGGTGAAGTGTATATTGGTTAGAAAATCACACCATGCGACGTCGTATGACTTTTATAAGTAAAAATTAAAATGTATAATGAAGCAGGAAATTTTCGTTATTTGGATTAATATAAAAAGGAATATTTTCTTTGTTTTAGTTTTGAAAAAAATTCATAAATGAAGTATACTTTGTAAACGTCAACAACATTACAATTGCTATGCTAATGTCTGGTGGAAGATAATGCAATTTATTTGAAGTGCATTCCTTGTAATAATAATAATAATGAAGATTATTGTTATGAATTTATCTTCGCTTTTACACGATATCGTGAATTTATTTGATCTCATTTGCGTTATTAAACTTCTGATTTTAGTTAATAAGTTTTGTTGTTATATATAGATCTATTATAAAGTTTAACTATTTTGCAAGAGTTAATAACTATCCGAGTATTTTATAATTAACGTTTTTTATGTAGAACAATAGTTAAATATAAAAATTCTTTTAAATAAGTATACCAATTTCTTTAAAATATAATCAATATAAATTAAGTTATTTAATTTATTCTGTAATTAAATTTTAAAAAAAATTCTTATATTTTTAACTATACAAAGTGTACATTTTGTACAAGTTACCATTGAGTAAATAAAAATATTATTTTATGCTGTACAAAGTATACATTTATGCAATTTTGTATCGAATAAATAAATACAAAGTGTTCATTTTTCACTGCTTGTACAATATAAAAAGAATAAAATTTTTTTTATAGTATAAATAAAGGAAAAATATTTTAAACTGTACAAAACTTTACAAAGATATAAATTTTATCAATAATATAAATCATACAAAGATACGAAGAGACGAAACGTTTAATATTTAAATTTGAATACAAAAAAAACAAGATATTTACTAAAATATTGTTTAAAAAAATCGGCAATTTTATCCTTTCGTAGGTATAACTTATTATGTAAACCATTTTAACACTTTTCTTTACAAACATCTGCTTTTATTCAAACAACGATATAAAGTTTTATCCTCTTTTTTTCTCCCGTTTTCTAAACCGAACGTCTAGAAAATAACAGGTTCGTGTGATAGACCAAATGATTAGTAAAAAAAGAAACTTTTATACTTTTTAAACGTTCGAAAATTCTACAGACCTACACGCAATATACAGTATTAATACTTTATATTGCGTGTATAGCACTTTCAAACTAGCAGTTTATCCACAGATAGATAACAACATCTGTTGGCCTCGTAAATCCATTTATATCCAATGGAAAGAAAGAGAACATTTAATCTTAGCCACTAAGATGAGAAAATTTCTTTTATATAACTTTTGGCAGCGGACATCAAAATAACTAGTCTTTTTTTTTTTCTTTTCTTTTTCTTTCAATAAATTTCTACTATAAAAAATAAATTAAAGTAGCTTAAAAACGGTATTTAAATATAAAAATTAGTCTGTTTTAAAGGAATTTTTAAGTATATATGTATTTTTATAAATTTAAATTATTTAAAAATGTTTGAATTTTAATATAAGGAATTATACATTAAAATATATATATATTTAATGTATAATTCAAATTCTGTAAAAGTTTTAGGTATTATATATAGGAAGTTTGAAATTTTAAAAGGGAAGAAATATATATATTTTATTTAAATTTTTAATAAGGATATTATATATATACGCCTTATATATATATATAATATTCTTGTCAATATTTTTTTTTGTAATGTCTTAAAATTAATAATATATCCATTTTTTTTCTATAATTTAGTTAAAAATTTTATTACTTTATATACATAATTACTTGATATTTTATTACTAATTTTAATTGTAATAAAAATAATAAATTTTATATTGTTTCTATAGTTGTTCTTTATTATTATTTTTCTGATAGAAAGAGTAACATGAACTAGTATTGACAACAGAACTAGCATTGAAATGATATATAGAGTAATACTACTTATATTACATTCTATAAGCTATCTTTACTTTATAAAAGAATATTATTAACTCAGCTTTGCTTTATTAACAAATTATAATTATAAATTTTAAAAGGTACTTTATTACGTACATCTAAATAGCTTTATTTAAATACATTAAAAATGATGATAATAATATATTTTGAGCCGATTTTAGATTTTAAATTGGAGTTTTTATAAGTTTAGGGGAGATCGGGGCAACTTCGGCATGCGGGGCAAGTTTGTCAAGCGCTTTTTTTAAATAACAAATTAAAAGGAGACTTTGGTTATAGGTTAGGCAGTTGAGTTTTATTGGTGGCTTGTTGAGTGTAGTGTTTTTATTGTTCTCCAACAAGCGTAGTTGAATTATCAAGCAAATTTTCATTTTCGTTCAATTCCATATAATATTTTTTTTCCATTTATATTGAATTGGCAGGTTTTGTTATAATTCCATGATAACGAAAGTTACTTTTCCTGTTAGAAGGATGTAACTTCAACTTATTCACGTGGCCAGATCGTGGCTTGGCATTCTGTTCTCAGGGTTGTACTTAATGTTTCGAAATCATGACTAGCGGGGTAAGATCGGCAACATAAAGCCACATTAGAAGCAAAGGATAAAAATCAAACAGATGATAAATGAAAACATGTTTGCATTTGTTATTCATGTATATATGTCTTTGAACTTGCATTTCGTTGTAATAATATTAAATGGGTGTTGGATTTGTATTTCTTTGTTTTAATAGTGAATTCCAACTTATACATTGTTAATAACATAATTTTATATACGTGCCTATCTTGCCCCATTACTGTTGCCCCTATACCAGGGGCAACTTTAATAAAAATAATTAAAATAATTACAACTTTACAAAAAGAGAGAAGTTGCCGATCTTGCCCCTATACCCGGGGCAACTTCGTCAATTTCTCTCTTCTTGTAAAGTTGTAATTATTTTAATTATTTTTATTTCCAAACTGATTTTAACCAGTTCTATAGTAAGGTAACATTCCAATAGACAATATGCAAAGCTTTTTTTTCAGTTTACAGCAGTATTTATTACACAAAATTTAAGTAAAGCTTAACATGCCGATCTTGCCCCGATCTCTCCTAAATTAGATATTTGATGCCAAAGTTGTTAATTATAAAATATCCTTGATATAATATACTATAATTTATTATATATAATGTCAACTTTATGACTTGCATTAGCATAAGTTTCAAGGATCATATAAGCAATTTAAAATATATTTTTTATTTTATTTTTATATAATTTTCAAAGCCATAATGTAACGTGTGAAACTTATAAATAAATTATTTATTTAATTTTTTAATTTCAGAAAAAAAATTCATAATTACAATAGGATATCCAGGTATTATGGTAAAGAAAAAGAAATAGTTTCGTATATAATTTTGCTTTATTATTTTTTTTAATAATAAATCTAAAAATAGGATAAAATCATAATACAATTTAATAATTTTCCTGGATCTTTCTTCACTTTCATTGTAAATATTTACGTTGAAAGATGTCTTACACTTCATTGCAATTTTATAAGTGATACTGTGCACGGAGCTGAAGATTTTATAAATAAAGTAAGACAAATTTTGACTTTGATATAAAATAATAAGCATTTATATTAAGCTTAAAATATATCGCTTAGAAAATTCAGATATGCTGGAGTATAGAGACATAACTGATTGATATCTCTTTTGTCATTTAGTTTTCTAACAGGATAACATAATCTATATATTTTAAAATATACCCCACATAAAAATACAATTTAAATTTTTATATTCTAATATTCACCTTACATTTTTATGGCATTTACGTGATACGAATAACAAAACATGCCTATTAATTTCAAAAAAGTATCGACATTTTATAACATTTATACTTAATAATTTACATATGAAAGAACTTTTTTTTTGTCGAATATAATTTGTAAATTATATTTACATTTTAACAGCAATTATTCCAGCGATAAAAATGTAATTATTTCTGTAATTTTTATAGCATTTTTTAATATATATTTTAAGAATTTTCTCAGTTCTTTTGATATAATATTTTAGATTTTGAAATAAAATAAAATACAATATATGTTATAGAATAAAACAGACATAAAACGAATTGTGATGTTGTATTGAACAGATTCAAGAATTGAATTTTTATATATTTTTGCTGCTTTGAATATTACTTACAAATTATATTATATTTATTTTTAATAAAAAAAATAATAGTAATTGCAATTAATTATCGCTTTTTATAAAGGCAAGTAATTTAAAAATTATTTTAAAATCTAATAATTTTCGGATTTTATACATTGAAACTCTAGTAACTGGGATCCGATTAATCGGGTACACAATCAATGTGTCTTCGTATTTAATATCGTTAAAAAGTTTCATTTCATACAAATTAACCTTAATAATTTAGTGATACAGGATAAGAGAATGTAATATTTCCTCTTCAGTTTCTGTTCTTTCGTACAGAAATAATGGCTACTAAGCGGAAATCTGTTGTATTATTCTTGAGCAAAGTTTGTAATTATGTCTAAAAATACCTGTGCAGTGATGCGAAAATATTAAAACACTTTCTGTTAAAATTCGTGTTGTCAAGTAAATAAAAATATAACTTAGTTCTAGCAGGTAGTAAAGGTGTAATCTTGTTATCTGTCTCCTAGCACCTGAGAATTACAATGATCCGGATTTGAGTCTGAGACAGAAACTTTAGAAAATGTTTATGTCTTCAATATGTACTTTTCGTCTTTTAACGAGAATAGGCCAGGCCCCCATTGTAGGCCTGGCATAATCCCGCCTACAGTGGCTCGCAATGGAGGTCTAGTACGATGTACATGGAAGAATGACCTAGTAATCCTATTCAAAATTAATATTTTTTTTATTAATTAATTCCATTTTATTAAAATAATTAGAATTTTCAACACTTTTTAAAGCCAGGTTTTAATACTTTTTTTTGTAATATTGTATTTATTATAAATGAATATTTAATAACGATACAAGATTAATCACTAAAATGTTATATAAAAATGTATATTTAATTATAAATAAACGGCATTTTTTTAAAGAATTTTATTATTATTATTTTTAATTTTTAAATAAGAGATTGCTGCAATTAAATAGTGTTTTTGTAAATGTTTTAAAACAAAATTAATTTTCTACAGAAAATTGATTTGTTTAACATTCACAAAAACATTATTTAATTGCTGCAATATGCTATTTAAAAATTTTCGTCTGAATTTTTTTTTAAAACATTTAACCAATTTAATTAACATTTTTTGATTAACATTGGATAAATGAAAATTAATTTAATATTTTAAAATATAAATATATATATACACACTTTTAATTAAAATATAGAAAAAAAAACATTGCGTTTAATAATTTATAAATATCGGAATGATATGACAGATTCGTTTTAATTAACTAAAATTTATGATATTTTATTATTATAAATATAAAAACAGTAAACGTTAATGAAACGTTTATTATTATTAATAACGTTTACGAAGTATTTAATTAATTATATTATTCTAATTAAAAGAATTGATTAATAATCTAAAAGACAGACGGCCGAATGTAAGGGCGGTTGAGGCATCAGCCTGCTTCTCTAGGGAATCAGGGATCGAATATCTATGCTGAAAAATGAAAAACTTTTAGGGTGAGCAATTTTTCATCCCGAATTTAGACCCCTTTCCTCGCCTTTCGGACCTTAGAGGATCCAGAAATCTTTAGGGGTGTATAAAGAAAACAATACAGTTAGAAATTTTTTACTACCTGAAGTAACAGGCCTTACTTGGGAAAACCTCCAGAAGTGCAGTATGGTCCTTCTAAAGGTTTTTTTCCTTCATACTTCTCAAATCTGCCCGGCCTCTGCTGCCCACAGCGTCAATATTAGCCTGGTTCGAACCCAGGCCCCATATTTACGCTGTGGGTACAAGGAGGGCCTTTTTAATCATACTGTGGTCGAACCCAATATGGGCCTGGGTTTAGACATAATGGGTATGATTAAAAAGACTTTTTTGGTGTCTACGAACAGAGTAAAAAGAACAAACAAACAAAAAAAAGAGTAGAAGAATCTAAAAGACAAAATAACTAAATTTTTTATGAATGCTTTCAGTTAGACAATGTTATTAATAAATAAATTTACTTGTTTTAAAAGTATTTACAAGAAACTTTCATTTATAACAAGATAAAATGTTCAATTTGCTTTACATTATATTCATTTTTAATACTACTTTAAGCAAAATTAATATTTATAATTAAAACTTTACATTTTATATTATTCAAAGCATTTTTTAAATATATTTAGGAAAAGTTTTGTAAAAGTTTTTCATCTTTTCTTTTTATTTTTCTAAAGAATCGAGATTTTTACCTGGGATCATTTTCAATAACAAGAGGTTGTTTATCTCTAGTCCAAGAAATGGTCAAAGGAGGATCACCAGTCACGGAACACGTCATAGTTACATCTTCTTTCTTCTTTACCATCTGGGTTTGGAATTTTGTTTCAAATCTCGGCGATTCTAATGAAAAAATAATAATTATTATTTCAATATAAATACGTAGATTTAAACGTATTAAAATTGAAAAAAAAATTTTTCTCAAAAAGTTTGAAAAATCCAGTTTTGAATGGCACAACTTTAAGGAAGAACTAGAAAATTTATACCAAAAATTTGTAAATAAATTTATGATTTTGCTTCTGAATATAAGCTATGTATATATTTGAATGTTTTTCTACGATAATATATCTTATAAATTTTTTATATCAACGAAACTTTCAACTATTCCTATAGGACCACGTTTGAAGGGTAAAGAAAAAGAAATAGTTTCGTATATAATTTTGCTTTATTATTTTTTTTAATAATAAATCTAAAAATAGGATAAAATCATAATACAATTTAATAATTTTCCTGGATCTTTCTTCACTTTCATTGTAAATATTTACGTTGAAAGATGTCTTACACTTCATTGCAATTTTATAAGTGATACTGTGCACGGAGCTGAAGATTTTATAAATAAAGTAAGACAAATTTTGACTTTGATATAAAATAATAAGCATTTATATTAAGCTTAAAATATATCGCTTANTTTGTAAATAAATTTATGATTTTGCTTCTGAATATAAGCTATGTATATATTTGAATGTTTTTCTACGATAATATATCTTATAAATTTTTTATATCAACGAAACTTTCAACTATTCCTATAGGACCACGTTTGAAGGAAAAGGATCCTGAATATTTCATTTGGTTGTTTTATTATACTAAGTGCTATAAGAATAACGTCATGGAAGATAAAACAGTAAATGGTAAATTTACACTTTAAACTTTAAACAATAGATTAAATGAATAAGAGATTTAGCTGAATTAAGCTTTTAAACACAGCAGTCAATTCAAATATTTCCATTTTAAATATCACAAAGGATTTCTAGGTTCGTTTCGTTGTTGAATCATATTTCTCTCCCCGTTTCCTTTAACACGCAATACACATATTCCTCTTAGTGCTCTCTCCATGGACAAGAGATGGAGAGAGTCAATAAAAATATTCTAAGCAGGTATAGTAACTAAAAATACATAGAAAAGATATGGCAAGTCAGTTTTCAAATATTCGCTATTGTGATCGATGTATATGCATCTGGAAAATAGATTATATGTAAAATGTTCTTAAATCAAATTTCGAAATGTATGAAAATATAAAATAAAACAATGTAAATATATTATTTATATTATTATTTTTTCAACTTTTATACAATTTCTTCTCTCGAGATTTAATACTAATGAAAGAAAATATCGTAAAAAAAATCGAATTTTCTGATATTAGGATTTTGTTTTCGTATTAAATCATTAAAAGGAAGTTTTCTTTACATTGTAGTATAGTAAAAGTTCTTTATAGGGAAAGAAATTACAGAGAAAAACCACGTAAGAATTGAAGTTGTTTTACTTTAATCGTCTTCTTACAGGTTAGGTGTTTGATTCTGTCTTTGGAGATCCAATTTAATGACTTTTGGGTTTTGAAGAGTTCGCCAACTATGAGATCGCTGATTACTTTACTTTATTCTTCCAGAAAAATGCCACAAATCCAATAAAAAGAGATTTTCTTACATGAAAACTTATATAATTTTTTGTTTTAATTGAAAGATACGAAGATATTTCTCACATTCATCATTTTAAATCTACCGATACACGCTAAATTCAGTTCGTATTTTTGTGAAATTTTTAATATAATTATTATTTTTAACTAAATAAATTGGGGAGAGAAATGTTATAACGTTTTGTTAAAAGTTTAATTTTTAAAAATTTTAAAGGATAAATAAAAATTAAATTGTTATAAAAGATGATAACCCGAAAAATATCTTTAAATTACTTCCTATTTACACTTTCATTTTAGTAGAAATAAATTTAGTAAAATTTTAAAGAAAATATATATTTTAACACAAGCTTGAGATGTAAAATAAAATGGTTTTAAAATTAATTTTATTATATATTTTATATGTTAAAATATACATGAAAAACAGAAATATATTTGCATTTTAATACTTTGTTTCCCCTATTTTTTTTCAAAATGTCTGTTCAAGCATTGAACAGAAAGATCTAGGTTATTTTTATTAAATTCATTTCTATTTAGAAAACAGATAATAATATTAAAAATTTAAATAAAGTTATAACAGGGAAGTAAATTTTGACAGGTATACGTTTATAGGTTATATATCAACTGAAAATTCCCAGGTTGTTGCAAAGAAAAATAACCACCCAAAAATTCTAATCTATGAAAATTCAATTAATATTATCTTATTCTAATTAATTATAACGTTTTATTTATTTAGTTAATAAATTATTTGTCAGTTATTCTAGCTTGTTTCAGCCTTTGTAAATTTTAATGACACCATTTATACTTCTGTGGTTTCAGAGCAAATCACGCTAGTATAATTCGGTAAACTGCGAAATTTTTACTGTATACGGACAATAGTACATATATTTTATGTCTTCATTGATTAAATTAAGTTAAAATAAAAACAAACTCAATTTTCCGAGCTTCAACTAATCTATAATTAGCCTACAGATGAGATAATTATAGGAGCAGTTTGCAGAATTAATGACGATTCTTAATATTTCAAGTTCCAAAAAAACTAATATTAATTTTCACACTGTGACTATAACGATGTTATAAGTATATCAAATTATCATTGTAATATCTTAAATCGTATTATTATTTCTAAAATATGAAACCTTGAAATTATATACATTTTTCTTAAGGTATATCTATAAGAAATGGATTTTATGTAAAGTTAGCAATATATTTTTCATTAAAAATTCAAGTAATTATTATAAAATTCTAAAAATAAGAAAGAAATATATATATATCAACGGATAAATAGTAATATTTGTATATCTTTGGAGTGAAACTGTATATTACCCGAGGGTGTTGTAGTTTTAGTTCTAAAAATAAAGATATAAGAAATAATACAATATTTTATATAGGCTTATATAATTGAAAAAATAGTTATAAAACAGATAGATATATATAAGCTTAGAGTTATGATGTTTAGCGCATTTCTTAGTCTTTAAATTCCTTAAATTTACAGTAAACAAACAAGCATCTAATATAAAACTATAAAATATATAAAGTACAGTATATGATATTGTGTGTGTCTGTCTATATACATGTGTGTTTATATATACATACAGTAAAACCTGTGTAAACCGGAATAACACAGTATCCAATATTTTTTCCGTTTTAGGCAGGTTTTACTGTATAACTTTCATAACTTAGGCTTTATATAACACTATAAAAAAGTCTAATGTAAATCGTAAAAACATGCATGCTTTTATAATCATTTATACATATACATATATATACATTTATACATATACAATAATACATATTTGAATTTTAATTTATATTTTCAGTTAATAACTTTACGATTGTATTATCAATATTAGTAAAATGTAAATATATTAATAATAATAATCAGGATCGTGGAGAGCAATCACGAGTCCTCGGTTAAGGGGTCCTCTATCAGTTATTACATAATACTCTCTCGGTGTATCATATACCCTTTAACCCCTTCCTTTAAGCAATTGAAATTACATAAATTGAATTTCTAGACTATATAATTAAAATTTTATTAAATAGATTTCAGCTCGTTGCCCTGTACAGGTTTGGGCCCAAGAGCTACATTCACGATTTCTCCTCCCTATCATTGGACCAGAAGATAACTATTCATTAGAGAATATATTTTTATTCAACTCTAAAATTTGCAAATTAACTATTTTGTAACAGATCAATAACGTTATTTTTTAAGATTATTTTAAACGTGGTAATAACTATAAACAAGCAATTGTCAGTAAGAATTATTAAATTTAGTATATATATATATATTTCTAGAATTGATTTTTTAATTGAAATGAATACAACAATTCAAAAAAAAAAGAATCTTAAACTATTAACCAGTAAAAAATAATTTATCAAATCGAAAAGAAAGACGTTTGAATTAGATCTAGATTGAATTTCTTTCAATGTACTCATTTCACTTTAAGATCGTATGCTAATCAGATTTAAAGCCGAAAGAATATTGTAAAACCCTTCTATTGTTGAATTAATTTGTATTTGCTCAGTATAAAAATTTTCGAAAAGAATTTTTCTATTTTGAATTTAAAATTCTCTTAACATTACAATACAAAATACGATTATACAATTAAATCTTGTTATAATCGTGGATGCTTCAAAGTGACAAGCAGCCAAGTAAGCAAACCAATAGCATACGTCGTTTCACTGGTTTGCTTACTTAGTTGCTTGTCATTTAGAAGCACCTCGTGTTATAGATGTTAAATTTAACAAGATTAAAAAAAATCTAAGAAATCAACTTTACAGTTTTTTTTAAATTTTATATTATATTCTTCAATATAAATATTTCTTTATAATAAAATAATGTAAATTTATTTTATTATAACACATTTAAAAATAACTATTTAAAATTGGATATTGATCCTTTAAAATTTAATAAAACTTACTTAATTTTATACATTAGCTTAGAGCCAAATTGAATAGTAAAATAAATCTTTTATTAAATAAATATATA